ACCTTGATGATTCTGGTGATGGGGACCTGATTCTCAATAGTCACAGGTCAGAGCAGAAGGTCCCTGCTGAGGACAGACCTCCAGGAGGGCGGTTGGTCCAGTCCCCACACATGTACTTTCCTCAGGTTTCCTGATCCTGCCATGGGTCTGTGGTCACAGTTCTGGAAACTTCTCTGGGTTCCAGGACTAGGGTTCCTTTAGGACCACATGGCCCTGCCTCCTTCCTGTTTTTTCATGTGATGTTTTCTTCCCACAGGTGGAAAAGAAGGGAGCTACGCTCAGGCTGCAAGTGAGTGTGGAGGGGGTGATCCCTGAGACCCTTGGGATAGTGTAATGGAAGCCCTTGGGGGAGCCCACCCACCCCCATAATTCCTCCTTTAGCCACATCTGCTGTGAGCTCTGACCACATCCTGTTTTGTTCTCCCCCAGGCGGTGACACTGCCCAGGGCTCTGATGTGTCTCTCACTGCTTTAAAGGTGAGACCCTGGAGGGCCTGAAGTGGGGAAGGGTTGGGGAAGAGGGGACAGGGCTGGGTAATGGGGATACTTTGGGACATTTTGAGCACATGGTGGACTGTTGAGAATGTCACCACTTAACAGCCACTAACCTGAATTTGTTCATGATTATTTTCTTCTACAGCGTGAGACAGCTGCCTTGGGGGGGACTGAGTGATGCAGGATGTGTTCATGCCCCACTTTGTGACTTCAGGAACCTCTGACCTCTCGTTCTGCAAAGGGCATCTGAATATGTCTGCGTTACTCTCAGCATCCTGTGAGGAGGGGGGAGACTGCCCGCCCCCTGCCCTCCATGCCCCATCTCAACACTGAGTCTCTTCTTCTCTGACCCACTGTCCTGTTCCAGCAGAGGCTGTTTCCATCCCCGCTTTTGCTTTGTGTTACACAGAGCAGCAACTTCTTACTTCCTATTGAAGCATCTGGATATGGATTTTTCACTTCTTGCCATGAAGGGTTGATGGGTTAATTGAAGCAGAAAATCCTAAGGTTTCAGAGGAAATAAATGGAAGCACTGAGAACCTTCCAGAATCCATGTGTTGGCTCTGCTGAGTCTGTTGCAGGTGGAGACAGGAGAAGCTGTGAGGACCGAGCGTGGATGCAGACCATTCAATGCTCGGCATTGTGGGCATCGATGTGGTCACTCCTCGGCTGGGTGACCTCTCTGCTTCTTTGTCCTTGTCCCTTCAGTAGAACCTTCTCCCACCAAGACCTGTGATCACAGGGATTTGAACATCACCCAGGTCTGGTCTTGTCAGTGAGGGCTTCGTGTGTCCAGGTCAGCCTAGGCTCAGGCCTGGGTCTGGCCCTCAGCCCCCATCTTTTGGGTGTTCATTTGTTGTTTCTGTAGAGGAATATGACTGGTTTTGTTCTTGTTATGAGTCCTGGTCTCATTCTCCTCTGGGTGTCTCCTACCTGTCAGCAGCAGGAGGTGTTGTGCCTGTCATTGTTCCCACAAGGCCCAGCGGGACCCTGCACACAGAAGTCTGTGGATCGAGAGATGAATTTTCAGGCTCATCCAGCTCTTGCCTCCTCCTAGGGCTTGATGGTTCTTTCCATCTTTTCCCAAACTATCAGAGGAACCAGATTCTGGAATCAGCAGAGGAGGGATCCCGTAATGTCTCACCTTAGGTAAGTTCCTGCTGGAATTCTGCTCTGCTCGCCCGCCCTCTCTCCCTGCCCTGAGCTCTAGTGCTGGCTCCAGTCCAAACTCCTGGGTTTATGAAGCAGAGTCTACTTGAGATTTATATTTGGTTGGAAAATAGGATTCATAAGTCAAGGCTCACTGTTTCCTGAACAGGGAAATATAACTGTGCTGCGGTGTGCAGGAGGGCAGGTGTGGGAGAGAGAAGGGCGGAGGGGGGAGAGCAGCACCTGTGAGAGAAGTGGAGCTGGCACTGATGCCAGTGTGAGGGGACTTGGTGCTGTAGCTGCCACAAAACAGCCTGTGACCCGAGGCTACATTAATAGAGACACTGTCTCTAGAACAGGGAGGCACTTTCACTGATCTCTCACTGACACTGGCTGTGTGCCAGATGTGTGACAGTTTCTGATTCTGGGAAACGTCACTGAAGTAAAGTCAGAAAAATGGATGGACTTGGGGAGCATCAGGCTGTGTCCTATAAGCA